GTCCATGGGGTCGCGAAGAGTCGGACTCGACTGTGCGACTGAACAACAACAAAAGGCGTGGAACAGTGGTCACTGGGGGGTGGGGGGGTATTGGTAAATTTCCTGCATTGTGCAGGGGGTTGGACTAGATGAGCCTGGAGGTCCCTTCCCACTCTATGAGTCTATGATTCTATAATTCACCCAGGCTGGCTGTGGGCACACCAGCACCTCTGTCAGGCAGAAGCGCCTGAGATCCCCCCCTCCCCTTTTCCTTCGCCCGACTTGGAGGCAAAGGGAAGGGAGAAATGATCAATAACCTCAGATATGCAGACGATACCACTCTGATGGCAGAAAGTGAAGAGGACCTAAAGAGCCTCTTGCCCAGGGTAAAAGAGGAGAGCACAAAGGTTGGCTTGAAACTCAGGCGGCAAATAGAAGGAGAAGTCGTGGAAGCAGTGACAGACTTCATGTTCCTGCGATCCATGATCACTGCAGATGGTGACTGTAGCCATGACATTAAAAGACGCCTGCTCCTTGGGAAGAAAGCAATGGCAAACCTTGACAGCATAATAAAAAGTAGAGACATCATCCTGCCAACAAAAGTCCGTATAGTCAAAGAAATGGTATGCCCAGTAGTACTGTATGGCTGCGATAGTTGGACTACAAGGAAGACTGAGTGCCAGAGAATAGATTCTTTTGAATTATGGTGCTGGAGAAGACTCTTGAGAGTCCCCTGGACTGCAAGGAGATCAAATCAGTCAATCCTAAAAGAAATCAACTCTGACTGTTCCCTGGAAGGCCAGATCCTGAAGTTGAAGCTCAAAGACTTTGGTCACCAAATTAGAAGGGAGCACTCCCTGAGAAGACCCTGATGCTGGGAAAGATTGAAGGTCATAGATGCAACGAACAAATAAGACGGGGACGGCAAAGGATGAGATGGTTAGACAGTGTCATAGATGCAATGAACATGAAATTGAGCAAGCTTCAGAGGACGGCGGAAGACAGGAGGGCCTGGCGTGATCTGGTCCATGGGGTCGCGAAGAGTCGGACTCGACTGTGCGACTGAACAAATGTAGGATTGCGGATCTGCTACCTCTTTGCCTCCACCAGTGCTCTACTTAGACATTTGTAAATAAAGTGAATACTACAAAAATGCCATAAATCTACAGTAATCTCTCTTCCAAACGGAACTAATCCAGTTAAGCCCCAACCCTGGAACTTTCACTGCTTGGGGAAGTGGGTCACCTATAACAGTATGTTGAGTTGCTCACTGGGCGTGTGCTAAAGCAATCACTTCACAGATTCAAACAACCTTCACTGTCAATATACAAACTTGACCATGTGAATTTTCACCCATCAGGAGACTGCAGATCTTTCTGCGTTCAGATCTTTCCTCTGATTTAATAGAGTTGCAAACTTTGGGTTTGGGAAATTCCTGGAGATTTGTGAGTGGAGCCTGGGGAGGGCAGGGTTTGGGGTGGGGAGAAAGCTCTGCAGGAATGTGATGCCATAAAGCCCACCCTTGAAAGCTGCCATCTTCTCCAGGGAAACTGATCTCTGTAGCCTGGAGATCAGTTGTAACTTCAAGAGATCTCCAGCCACTACCTGGAGGTTTGCCCCCCTATTACCTTTGCCAGTGTTGGCTCCCCCTTGACTAGAATTTCTGATCATTTTGATTCCATTCTGTTTGCTTTTCTGGCTGACTGGCCTGTTTCTCTGTGGCTTTGTACACCAAAGTCACTGCTAACCCACCTCTATTACATGAATCAGGGCTGCCTTTTCCCACAGAGGAGCTGGGAGACTCCCACCCTCTACGTCTATGGGCTGCGTCACACTGGCCAGCCTGGTGCCCTCAATCCAAGGCATTCTAGCTAGAGGGTCAAAATTCACAATCCTTGCTTGCATTTCCTAACTGGGAGGGGGACATGAGAAAGAGATGGCAGATATCAGTCTCTTTCCAGGTCACCCAGAAGGCCTTGTTTACACTCAGAGCTTAAATCCAACCCGAGAAGAACAATGTCTTTCATGAAACTTCAGAATACAGGGAGAGTTTTAAATTAATAACCTCGAGAGAGAAGGAGGTTTAATGCTTCAGAGACAGCAGTGAAATTCCCAGGCTGTGTTTAGGTCCAGCAGGGGTGGGGGAAGAAGAGAGGTAGTTCTCTTTGCCGGTCTGTTTTGTCTGCTGGGCTGAAGCCAACCCGATTGGTACAGGTTATATTGTGGAAATGACTCAGTGGAAAGGGTTAATCTTTCTTCACCTATTACCTTAGTTCCTTGAACTGCTTTTAAAGGATCCCCACAGCCACATAACGTGGCCTTCAGTATCAGCAGGAACAGGCATATTGCACTGTACCTTAAGACTGTTGCTCACATAGAGAAGAAAGTAGGCTATCCTTCAGATGAATGTGTCTAGAGTCACAGTAAAAGGCTTAACAAAACACTAAGGGGCTAAAGGAGTCTCTTGAACAGATTGAGGAAGGAGACAGACCAGGACTACTGAGAAAGCGGGAATGAGATTTGAAATACAGCAGTTTGAACTACGGCCAAAATCTGATTGGTGATTTGTCCTGGTGTGGTTGTGGTTCTGTGTAAATGCAAGATCAAAAACTTTGATTGGGCTGGTAGACATACTACCCATCCTCCAGCACTAGACAGCTTCAGCCTCGCCATATCTAAGCACCTGGACAGAAACCTTGGATCTGGTAGTTGAAGTGTAGTGGGTTAGACGCATGTATAAACCACTGAGACGGATGTAGTGATCAGCATGGTTTACTGGTACACAACAAAGACAAAGACTACTGGCCAGCTGGCCAACTATATACACACCTGGGGACACTCCCCTAGGTCCCGTTGGTGGGTTTAAATCTCCTGCCACGGTCCTATTGGTTCCCAAGTGGAGAGACTAGGAGCCTAGTTCCCATTGTTTCTACAGAGTCAAGCTTGGGGGTATTCGCTGGCCCCTGGTGGTGGTCAGCGGACATGACATTCCTCCCCCCATAATTCAGACCCACCCTAGGTTACATAGTCCTTTAAGTACGACGGGGACCGCTGTTCTCTAGTGGACCGTCGGGGGGGGGCAGTACTGGAACCTCCGGGGGCCCGTCCGATGTGCTGGGATGCACTGGTGGTACAGACACCTCTGGCGCTGAAGAGTTGGTTGTCGAGCCCTCCTTGGCAGCCACCGTGGGGACGGGGGCAAGGTTCTGATGCTCCTCGGTGGGGAGGTCCTGTGCTGGGGCCTCTTAAGTGCTCACCTCTGGGTTTGCCCACTGATCAGGAACCTGTGTGCTTGGGTGCTCCATGAGCATGCGCCGACAGAGTTGGTCTATGTGCCTCCGAAGGACCTGCCCACATTCAGTCGACACGTCGTACATGACAGTGCCAGTGGGATGAATGATGCGGTCGGTGATCCAATCCGGGCCCCTTCCGAAATTTCGGGCTAAGACGGGGTCCTCTGGGAAGAACCCGCGAGGCGCTTCCCACTGCTCGGAGGAGTTCTGTGGCTCGGGAGCCCGATCAGGGTGTAGGCGGTCCAGGAGGATTGTTGGTCTCCGACCCATGAGGAGTTCCGCTGGGCAGCGACCGCTTATGGGGTTTGGCATTGTTCGTTGCGCTAGGAGGAAATGGGCAATGCGAAATTCCCCGTCTCCCTTCGTCAGGCGGCTTAACGCTTCCTTTGCCGTCCTGACCATGCATTCTGCTTGGCCATTTGTAGCGGGGTGGAACGGTGCCAACCTGATGTGTTTGATCCAGTTGTCATGGAGAAACTGCTGGAATTCCTCCAACGTAAACACCGTCCCGTTGTCCGAGACGATGGTGTCTGGCAACCCATGGGTGGCGAAGATCTTTCAGAGGGCGTGGATGGTGGCCTTTGCGGACGTCGCGGAAACAGGGCTTATCTCCAGCCACTTCGAATAGAAATCCATTGTCACTAAGAATAACAGTCCATGAAATGGTCTGGTGAAGTCTAAGTGGAGCCGGGACCACGGGGTTTGTGTGGATTCCCATGCCTGGGATGGCACGCTCGGCGGGCTGGGTCAAATGGCTTGGCAGGTCGGGCAACGTATCACCCACGCCTCTACCTCTGCATCAATGCCTGGCCACCAAACATAGCTCCAGGCCAGGCCTTTCATCCTAATGATGCCCAGATGCGCTTCGTGAAGGGCCTGGAGAACTTGTTGGCGGAGGGCGCTGGGGACCACGACCCTGTCACCCCACAGCAGGCAGCCTTTGTGCACTGACAACTCCTCCCGGCGGGCCATAAACGCAGTGAACTCTGGGCCCTCTATCTTTGCAGGCCACCTACTCACCACCCAGCCCAGCACCCGGGATATGACGGGGTCTTGGGCTGAGCAGTGGGCAATGTCTGCAGCCTGCAGCGGGGCAACTGGTAGGTTGTCCAGCTGGAGGACGAGGTGCGCAGGGGCCGGATCCTCAACCACGTCTGGTAGGGGAAGACGGCTAAGGGCATCGGCGTGGCCCATAGCTTTCCCCGGGCGGTGTTGTAGCTGGTAATCATAGCCCGCAAGGAAAATGGACCACTGCAAGACCCGCGGGGAGAGGACTTCGGTGACCGGCGATCGGGCACAAAAAGGCCGAGGAGCGGGTGGTGGTCTGTGGTGGTGAACGGCCGGCCATAGACGAAGTCATGGAACTTCTTGACCCCAGTCACTATGGCTAGTCCTTCATGATCTATTTGGGCGTAGTTCCGCTCAGCCGCAGATAGAGTGTGTGAGTAATATGCGACCGGGACCTCCCCCCAATCCGGGAGACGATGCGCCAGCACTGCACCGATGCCGTAGGGTGAGGCATCGCACGCCAAGACCACAGGCAGCTCCTCATCGAAGTGGGCCAGGACCGAGTTGGAGATCAACAGTTCTTTAACATTTCGGAACGCGGCAGCCTGGCAGGGCCCCCACACCCAGGTGGCCTGCTTGTCTAACAATCAATGGAGGGGCTCTGCTACCACCGCCTTGTGGGGAAGGAAGGCATGGTAGAAATTGAGAATCCCTAAAAACGCCTGTAACTCGGTTTTAGACTTCGGTGGCGGGGCCTCCACGATTGCCTTTACTTTGTCTCGGGTCGGGTGTAGGCCCTCTGCTTCCACCATGAAACCCAGAAAGTCCACTGATGGCACCCCCAGCCGACACTTCTCCAGTTTAACTTTGAGTCCGGCGTCCTGGAAACAGCGGAAAACTGTGTGGAGGTAGTCTGCAAAGTCGGCCGGCGTGGCAGCGGCGATCATCACATCATCAAAAAACGGGGTGACGCCAGGTATTCCTTTGAGAAAAGAATCCATCAGTTGTTGGAATAACCCTGGTGCCACACTCACCCCGAATTGCAGTCTCTTGACACGGAATGCCCCCCGGGGGGTCACGATAGTTTCCGCCTCAGCAGTCACCTCATCTACTGGCAACTGCTGGTAAGCCTGGGCAAGATCAAGTTACCCAAAGATCTTTGCCTCCCCCCCAAGGTGGCCAGTACGTGGCTAACCACAGATACCAGATATGCATGGTCCTGTAGTCCCTTATTCAGCGTACATTTGTAGTCCGCACAGATGCAGACTGCCCCATTCAGCTTTTTTTTGCAGTCTTGCAATCTTGCCTGCCTGCTTAAGGAACAAAGGGTCCCAAAAGGAGTTTTGAAGGCGAATTCTGAACGGCCCAAAAGACAAGAGGCGGTGGCCTCCACAAATGTCTCCTTCCCAAGCCCCATCCCCATTACCTGGCCCAGGAGAAATCCTCCAGGAGGTGGCAGCTGCCACCCCCACAGAGCTGGATGAGCAACGGATGGGACAGGCCTCACTGCAGTCATGTGACCCAGTAATGTGATGCCAGCACATCACTGGGTCACATGACTGCAGTGACGCCGGCCTGCCTCATCCGCCCACTCGGCCTGGGAGAGGGAGAGCTGGTGGGCCGGTGTGATTAATACTTGGCGAGGTGGTTAACAAGCATTCCAGCCACGCACCAGCTGCACAGCCTCTGCCTTCATGCCCATTGATGGGCCGGCAGGTAAGGGCACAGCAAGGGGTAGCAGGAGTTGAGGGGCCTGGGCCACGAGTGATGGGGCATGTGCCCCTAAGTGCCCTACCGTGGCTACGCCCCTGCATGTGGGTATATGTGTGTCTTCCTGATTGCACAAAACAATAGAATGAACACTGCAGCCATACGCTGCTCCCCAAGGTTGTGGGTGGGGGTGTTTTTTTTGGGGGGGGGATGAAATGCATGGAACACTGAGGTCAGCTGCTGCCCCCCCCCCAACCTGCATGAACTAAGGGCTTCTGTGCGTTTTGGCATCACATTAGAAGAGCTGGATCTCATCATGTAAGCAAGTAAGCATTTAAACATGTCTTAAATAATAATTTAGCAGTAAAATGAGAGGAGTGGGGGGAAAGTTCACACAAATCTGTCTTGCATAGTGCCAGTTAATAGACCATTCAAATATGGTAGAGAAATTCTGAGATATTTTTTCTGCATCTCTGGTATTTGTCTTTGTTAATTTTGTACTAAGGTAAAGGTTTCCCTTGCTTGAAAGCCAGTCGAATCCAACTCTAGGGGGCGGTGCTCATCTCGGTTTCCAAGCTGAAGAGCCAGAGCTGTCCAAAGACATTTCTGTGGTCATGTGACCAGCATGACTAACACCAATGCACGCAGAACGCTGTTACCTTCCCACCAAAGCGGTACCTATTTATCTACTTGCAGTTTCTTGCTTTCGAACTGCTAGGTTGGCAGGAGCTGGGGCCAGAGACGGGAGCTCACTTTGTCACACAGCACTAGGATCTTGATCTCCTTCTGGTTTGCACCTTAGCGTCTTAACCTCTGAGCCACCGCAGCCCCAGTTTTGTACTATCTCATGTTAAAGGTGTCAATGGACTTTAAATTAGAAACATTGCTTTTAAAAACAAGCACAGTCATGTGCCCCAACAGGGGACAGTGCAAATTTGACAGTTTTTTTTTATTCCCCACCCATAAATGCCCCAAAGTGCAAGCGCCAGTTTGGTGTAGTGGTTATGTGTGTGGACTCTAATCTGGGAGAACCGGGTTTGATTCCCCACTCCTCCACTTAGACCTGCTGGATGACCTTGGGCAAGCCATAGTTCTGGCACAGCTGTTCTTGAAAAAGAGCAGTTTCTGTCAGAGCTCTCTCAGTCCCACCTACCTCACAGGGTGTGGGGAGGGGAAGGGAAAGGAGTTTGTAAGCCGCTCTGAGAATCCTTTGGGTAGTGAAGGGCAGGGTATAAATCCAATTTCCTCTTCCTCCTCCTTCTCTTCTTCTTCCTCCTCTTCTTCCTCCTCCTCCTCCTCAGTAAAACCACTATGGAAGGAGAGAGCAGTTGCCCAACTTGGCCTAGTATAGCCAACATCTCCTAATTGCTTTATGTTTTGTTTTCTGCTGAGAAACTTATCCCCAGATCCTTCTTTGACAGTTGGTTAGTAAGACTTGTAAGTATTCACTTCAGGCCACATTTGTTTGCTTCATCTTGTCTTGTGGTGCTTCTACATGGGGATGATTTCCTGTTTGGCTTTCACTGCTGCTGTAAACACAAAGGTGTCTGTAGTGGCACTTGGAGCCTTCACATGGGGATTTTCTCTGTGCTTTCTCAGCATGCCAGCCTTTCCCCCCTTACCTCTGACAGGCTGTTTGCTGGTTTTTAAAATCAGATATCGCAATAGTATTTAGGATACTACAGCGATATACCTACTACCAACATTTTTAAAAACTGGCAAAAGCCTTCTAGTGGCAGGGAAGGGGAATTAGTGGGCACCAGGGGAAATGGGGAGGAAATGGTGCTGGATGTGGCGGAGAGGTGCAGAAACGCACATCTTTCTATCCACAGCAGAACCAAACCTGCTTTGAGTGCAGTCTTTCATCAGGCAAACTGCAGAGAAACTGCTTAATACCTGAGAGTTGGATGAGTGCCTGGTGATGTCACGTGGAAGCCCCCCCCCCCACTCCAACCATGACAGTTTGGGAGGGGAACAAAGAGCAAGAACTCCACGTGGGAGCAACCTTGGAGCAGTTTGTTCTTTCGGCTTAGATTGCACCAAGCAGACAATAAGGAGAGGCAGGCAGCTATATGGGTCCCTGGGAGGAATTTCTCAATTACATCTTCCAGTGGCCCAACTCTCTTTGTAGAAATTAGCAGCTGGGGCCTACGGGGAAGTTGAAAGGCTCCAAAGCAAGGTCGGCATTGTGCTCATAGCTATGCAAACCCAGTAGCTAATTAATAAGCAAAGAACGGATACTGTCAGGGGCACTCAGTCCAGAATAGGAGGGGAAAACCTTGGAAGGCAAGAGAGTCTGTGTGGTGCCTCTTATACATGCCCCTCAAAGCATGGACAGCATAATACCATTGTAGGAGGGAGGGGTTAAGCCCTGTTTATGCTCCATTGTTCTAGGAAAGAATTTAAATCTGAGCAGGGCAGCATATCCATTTCAGGGAAGCTCAGAACATACGAACAAAAGCTAACATTTATTTGACAGTACTCTTTTTGTGAGTGATGCAAACCTTTAGGTCAGAAACTATTGTCAGGATTTGAGACTATTACCAAGTAATTTCAGCTATTCTTGCTCTCAGCATCATATTTCTATGGAGGAA